ACCAATTTGTAGAATGATGCTATTGGACTGCTTTTCTAAATATCGTACTTAACATAACCTTATATAAGTATTGTTTCTCTTCCTTGTCTCGTTATGTTACCATTTTTATTTTGTTTCGCCGATGTATGTTATCTCTGTCGCGCGTTGCGCCTATATGTCATTCAGCCGCGCGTGTAAACTTGGTGTGTGCAAAGTTACACAAGTCATTCAAAGCAGAAGTGTCGTTTGAGCCTGGCCTTCAAATATTTTAAGCTTCAAGTGTCTGATGACGATTCAATATTTCACCTACAGTCAATTGCACTCCCTATTGCATTACTCCAAGCCCAACCTGGTTATCCATTTCGATCGCCATATATAACTCGGTGCAATTTTCCGCTCGCACGCCTCAGCTCTTTCTGTTATTGCTGAGGCGTATGTAAGTCTCTGTACATGCATCATGTACTTACCTACATACCAGTGAGCGCTAATTATACCTCGTAGTGACGCACCGTCGTTCGCTACCTAGGTACATCCGGCTCTACAGCGTTGCGTAACCTGGTAAGTCAAATTCTTCTCAGTCTGCGCATTGGACATCGTCGTGACTTGCATCGCCAGCAGTGGACGCCGGATGATGGTTGCTCTTCTTCGCAAGCCTCCAGTCTTTCGGCCACATGCTCAAGCGCTCACCTCTTGGTCTCAGGCTATCGTGTGTCTTGTGCATACGCCGCGGCCATTCCCCATCCTGTGATGCTATTTTAGCACGCTCCGAGGGGGAAAACTGCGCAACGTCTGGCGCTCAACTATAAAAGTCTTTGAATTCGTTCTCTCTTTGCTCAATTCAAAGTTTCTTACCGTTCTTACAATCCTTCACAGCGAACACTTACCTGCACGTTGATCATGCGGTATATTATCCCATTCTTAATGTTCATTACCACTGTTTTGGCCGCTTCCCGTGGTCATGGTCGTGGCCTTGCTGAACGTGTGGCGAGACGCCAGGCAGGCAGACACTTATCGCATCCAATGAACCGAGTGGAGAGCTCGTCGAACCAGACGGGTGTCGAGTATAGTTCGAACTGGGCTGGTGCTATCCTCGTAGCTGACTCGGTTTGTGATCCTCAGTTGTTGTCTATGTGTATCATTATTATACTAACGCTGATCGATTTCCAGGCCACTTACACAGCTGTCAAGGGAAAATTCACCGTCCCAACGCCGTCTGTGCCGGACGATACATCATCATACGCTTCCAACTACTCCGCCGCGGCATGGGTCGGAATCGATGGCGCCGACAACTGCAGTGACGCGATTCTGCAGGCAGGTCTTGACTTCACCATTGATACGAACTTAGGAAACATTTCCTACGATGGCACGTCTCTTTCTTGTCAGCTTTGTGTGTACAACGTTTAATCGAACACGTTTCTAGCCTGGTACGAGTGGTACCCCGCCTATTCGTATGACTTCAACATCAGCTTCAGCGCTGGCGACGAAGTTATTGTCACTGTCACGGCAACATCCTTGACCTCGGGCACGGCGGTGATTGAGAATGTGACGACGGGCCAGAATGTTTCCACGACAATTACTTCGACATACCCGCTCTGTGAGCAGAACGCGGAGTGGATAGTCGAAGACTATGAGGAGGGTGATTCACTCGTCACGTTCGCGGACTTCGGCACGATAACGTTCACTGATGCCGAGGCTACGACGTCGTCGGGGACAGTCGGTCCAGAGAATGCGAGCATCATAGACATAGAGCAGGACTCTGTCTTGACATCTGTCTCTATCAGTTCGGACTCTGTCAACATTACCTACATTTAAGACAGAATATACGTGGTCGTGTCTTTGTTCCTCTCCAGCGTCACGCGATATGTTTGAGTGTTTATTGTGTGAAATTAGTTCATCGAAAGTCTATCAAGTATAGCCGTGAAGTTGACGCGTCGACATACTTGCGTATGTGCCTTGCCAGCGTAGGCATCCGTGCTGAGAAAGAGCAAAGTCAGTCCCAGACTTTTGATGTAGTCCCTGTGGCTCTACAGCAAGAAGATTACTTAGTTCAATGTTGCACGAGAACAAAGAATAGAATTTAGCCCTGCCGGCGGCCACGTTGTGCATTAGCACTGCAGCAACATACAGTACCACACCGAGGGCGATCATTGCGGTGTGGAATGTGCTTGCCCGTTCTGGGACCAACATACAGTTGTGCTCACTCGAAATTGATCATATAGATAGATGATGCGTCTTCCCGTTGATACCCGACAGCAAAACTCTCAGGGTTGATATCTCTGAGAATTACGCCTCGCCATGAACGTGCTCGACAAAATCCAGCTTTTAAACGGGTAAATAAAGAGGTCTATCACGAAACATGCTGAAGAGGCGCTTGCCATTTTTTTTGTGCTAGTACTTGGATGGTTCTGAGCGAGAACGTTCCGCGGCAAGTGCGACGAAATTGTTGCAAATTGGGGCCCAGCCCGCCCATGACAAGGGACGTGTGCATCATCATCCATACCGCGGGGGAGCGCAGAATGACCACGAAGTTGAAGATACACCAGTGGCAGCCAAAATTTGATGTGTGCGTGCCGCTATCCGACTCCGGGGCAACGGAGTACGGCGCTAAGTACTAGCTCTAACAGTGGTGAGGTCGCCTACTAATAGAAAATGGGTATGAAGCCCTGCACAATGGAAATATTCAAGCATGGCTACGAATTTCTTCTCGTGTTGATCTATTGTTGTGCATGAAGCTCGAACGCATGTCGCTGGGTAGACATTACAAATGCGAAAGCCCAAAAACGCAACAAAAAACGATTCACTTGCCACAATGGAATGGAACACGAGGGAGATGACATTTCAGAACCCTCACCACGAATACCAGACGTAGAGCGCTGAGGACTGGTCATGAGGATGTGGCAGAGGAATTGACCTTGTTTTCCATCTGCAACAGAGCACACAACGCTTCTGTCTGAGGGTTCGAATATTCCGGGGCTGGCAGAAAAAAAAAGAAAATCAGCATCTAAGGGAGAACAATAGAGCAAAAAAAAAAAGAGGAAACGTGAAAGGGAGACATAGGCCAAAGAAAAAAAGCGTACGCTGTTCACGGCGCGCCTTGCCAGAGGGTACAAGCCCACCAGGCGCAGTAGGTGCAAAGGTCTGGAAGTTCCTTACAAGGAGGTCGCCGGCCCCCAAGTGCTCATTGACCCAGTGGAGTTCTCGCGCGACCATCTCCCGTGCCTCATCTTCGGGAGGAAACACCGGTTGCCTGTACTCTCTCGCCATCAACGGCTGGAACGCGCGCGTAATCGCCAGCCACTCGCGGTCGAAGCACAGCTGTGGCGCGCCCTCCTGCTCGTTGCCACTGAGTGGTGGGATGTCGATGATCTAGATAAATATAAATATCAGTTATGATTTGAGCTCCCGAGCGGACGGGAGCAGAGGTAGAAAGATGGTGATAATTCACCTCAAGGAACTTGCGCCTCGGCAAACATTTGTCCAGGGCCAGAAACCTGGTTACACGACCGTTGCGCTGGTTGTTGTGTTGTGCCTTTGGAGGCGGGATGACTGGTGCCGGAGGTGGAGCGACACCAACTTCCTCGTCATCCAGCGCAATTTCGTCGTCGTTGCGAAGCGACGCCTGTGTCTCCTGGGCTCCTGCAGGAGCAGCTTCTGAGCTGGCTGCCTCAGCCGAGCTCGCTACGGGCGCATCAAAGTCATCCTCGTCGATCGTTATCTCGTCTGGATTTTGCAGCCCTTGTGGTTGTTGTGCTTCTGCGACGGTTTCCGCCTCTGCAGGTGCATTTTCATGGGCAACGGACGCCTCAAAACGCGTGTGCAGATGAGCGGCGAACCACCAACGCGGTTGAAGATTTCGCAGGAGGCCCATCATGGGCGGCGAGCCCAGCTGTCCCCTCTCAATGTCGGACTTGAAGAAGCTCTTGCGTCGGAGGAGACCCTGCACGTCGCCATGCTGCTCAATATATTGCGGCCAATCGTGCGACATGAATATGTCCGGTCTGGAGAGTAGTGAGAGCTTGCGCACGCAGAACTCGCGTGTGTGGTATATGCTCCGCATGGTCTGTCCAGTGTACGGCAGCTGTTCGAAATGTCCTGTTAGTCAACGTGAGATGAAAAATATTTGTGAGATTCCATCTCGGGAATGGAGGTAATGTGGCGACACATACCTCGCGGGAAGTCATGGTCCTTGAAGATGCCTGACGATCCAGCGACGCGGAGGCCGCCCAAGCGAACACATCCTGCGTGCCCAAGGAAGTATATGTTAGGCGCAAGCCAGCCGCCGTGGTATCTGATCAACAGGGCATGGGAGGCGTCCTACTACAATGAGATTGCATAGACACGTACAGCTCCCACATATAATTCGACGCCTCGTGGTTTCCACCGATAACAAGAGTCAATACTGGCGCTTTCTTTTCACCCGTGTAATATCTGTCCTTCACCACGCGATACAATCAAACAACCGTTAAGCGCCACATCGCCCTGCAGCACAGCGAGCTGGACGAACTTACTGGTAAAACTGCCGCATGTCCCGGTACTTGTCGGGTACGGCCATGCATTGCAAGTCTTGATAGTTGCGCACGGCCTGGAAGTCGCCGCAGATGAGAAGTGCGTCGACGTTCTGCCCTGAGCTCGCGACTTCCGCATACGTCGCGTCGAGTTCACCGTGACAACAGCCTTCAACTGCGATCTACGCGTATGAATGAACGCTATGTGAAGACTTGAATCGAGCCATTCAATGTTGCCCTCACTTTCATGTTGTACCGGCCTTTTCTGGATCGTTTTGCAAGTCGACTGCTACCTTTCAAATGATGCACAGCCCGCCGGAACATGGGACTCTGCACGCGCGCACCACAATGGAGTCCTTCACTGGATACCAGTAAGTAGTAAACAGAGAGTTCGAACAAAGTTCTCCTGGCGCGATAGGATGATATATGCAATCAAGAAACGAAATTACTCAAAGGTTTGCAAGAAGCTCTCATGCTCCTACATGAAGTAAATTCCACGTCCAGTTCGTTGCCACCGTCTGCATGGCTCAGCTGGTTAGAGCGCCGGTCTCATACGTATCTTGTATGAATGCTTCCACTGCATACAATCCGGAGATCGTGAGTTCGATCCTCACTGCGGACAGTTATAGCAAAATTTAGTTGTTTTTGTACTGTTTTTGTACTCTTCAATACTACTTTTTCCCCTGTCCCTCATCGAGCTCACGGGATATGATGCGCTTTCTCCCCCCGGGCCGCGTCACTTAACAATTACACAAACAAGTTTGAAAGGGAATAACAAACTAAATTAATGTGAACCAGTAAATTCCACTCATATGTAAGTCGAGATAGACCAAATCATTAAGAATGTGATTTATCGTCCGGGTGTCGAACCATGACCATCCCTTCGTCCTCATCGTCCTCCAGACTGCGATCGCTAAGAGTCATTGTCCTTGATATCGGCGTCGTCCCGTCCTCCGAACTCGACGTCGTATGCGACACAGATACATCGGTGCTGATAAACGCGGGTTGTGGACTGACAAGTTGTGCGACGGGTGACACATTCGCGATGGTAGACGGCATAGTTGTGTCGACAGGCAGCGGTGGTACTTGCGGCTCCGGCACGTCGGTCACAGGAGATGGTACGGGTGAAGGCTCGGGCACATCGTTCGTCGGAATAGGTGGTACATCCAGCTTCGTGTGCTCGTCTGAGGCCGAGGCTGCATTGTCATCGGTGTTGGGGGGAACATCTGCAGACGATTGCACGGGTGTTGAAATCTCTTTGAGCGCCAGTAGCATGCAATCTCGGACGTGGGTGACGAGATCGGGGACGTCACTTGCGGAAAGACCAGTGGTAGGAATTGGTGGGAGGACTGTTGGGAGGGACGTTAGCGAAGTGTAACATAGGCAGTAGAACGGCAGAGGCAGAAGCCGACGAAAAGAACGACAGAAAAAGACGTCGTATTCGATGGCCCAGAATCTGACCGGCTGAAAAAACTTGAATAGATAACTCCCTTCGATACCTCTCCTCACCGCATTAGGTAGGAAGTAGACGCAAAGATCACGAATAACGCAAGGAAGCCAGCCAAAAAGCCGTCAAGGACACGGTCAGTAAAGCCTAAAGTTACTGAAACAGAAATCGATCGTGCGCGATAGAAGTGGCTAAGGATCCACGCTGCAGCTCTCTCTCACTGCTCAAACAGCAGACAGTCGCGAAACCCGCGAAACGAAGAGAATATGCAATCACCTTTGATGCGAATGACACCGTTGGTGAACACTCCTTTGTGGTATATATGCCAGTAGTTCTCGGTGACGATCGGAAGAATAGGGAGACCAGCTTGCACAGCAACATGGAAGCCACCCTTTTTGAAGGGCAGCATGCCAGGGGTGTTCGAGAGGTGGCGGGTGCCCTCGGGGAAAATCCACAGCCCGACATTCCTGTCACGCATAGTTTTAGCAGCATCATTCAACGAGCGCTTCGCGCTCTCAAAATTAGCGCGATCGATAAATATGCATCCCGACAAGGTCATGAACAAGCCGAGCGGCGTGAACAGGATAGATCGTTTCGAGAGGATCGATGTCTTGCGCGGCATGCACCTAGCAGGTTCTTTCAGTCCAGAATCCATCCATCAATCCAATAAAAGAGATCAAGAGCTCACCGGCCGACGACGAGGACATCGAGCATGCTCTGGTGGTTGTTCATGATGATCGCAGGGCCAGCAGCATCGAGCCACTCGGCGCCGTCGATCTCGATAGACAGATCTAAGAGGCTGCCGGCAGAGAGGTAGAATGTCCGAGCGACAAGGTGGCAGGCGCTGAAGCGGTCGCCGCCCGCAGCCATGACGGCCGCGATGAAGGTGCTCGCCGTACCCACGAGGCCGAGCGAGAGGAGATACAGGCCCGCGCGCGCGTAATACCGCAAGCCCGACGGCACGCTCGGCGAAAGCGATAGCGTGCGTACGCACACGACGGGTAGCGAAAGATACGCTACCGCCTTGAGGAGCGAGAGGATCATAGAGGTCGACGTCGTGGTCGGAGACAACTTTCTACACGGAGTAATTCAAGTAGGCGTTCTGATCCCCAGAACTACAAAGATTGGACTCGGCGTTTACTCAAACCCATCTTTATCTGGCTCTCGTTGCGTTCTGGGCTGTGTTTCTCTCGCCATCTGCCACGTAAGGAACGCGTGTTCAACCGCCCCAGCTCGACAACCCTGGGACACGACCTGACACGACTAAGGCGTGTTTAGCAGCTTCCGCTTCACCACGCTGACTCTGGATGTCTCTGAACTGGGTGACCTTCAGACGGTAATGTACAGCTTGCAGCACCACTTTTAGCACTTGGACTCTCTTATATTCTATTGCACTGTTTCTACACGTACGTGCATCGTGGTTACGTTCAAGCAAGTATGTACATCGAACCAGGTGCCTGGACTACTTGTTGAGGTTCTCTACCCCAAACTTTGTATATACATTTTGTTTTCATTTGCTCACTTGTTAGTTCCTCCAGCATGAGTTGCGAAAGACACTACGGTGAGCGTACAAGACATCATTATTGATTTACTTATGTAGATATGAGAGGATTTCTACATACTTCAAACCAGATAAAGTCAATGTGACATGGGTTACAGGCTAAGCTAAGAAAAATGGAGACTGACCAGGCGGCGTTTATTTTGCAACGGTCAATACTATCGAGACGTCACTTGTGGTTGGAGTGGTGGTGAATGGTTGTGGCAGTGAGAGACACAATGCGGTCGAACAGACGACGCATGGCGTCCCAGGTCACATGAGTGACAAAAACAAGGGCACACACCGAGTATTGCAGCGTCATCAGAACACCATGTATCCCACAGCACGCTAGAGCAATGCTCGGAGATAGATTGTACACCACGCTGAAAAAGAACACCAACATTGAGAACGTAGAAACCAGATGGCATAAGCCAGGAACTCGACACGACACGGAGAAGAACAGATACATCCCGAAGACGTCGAGTGCACGATCCTGCACCAGAATCAAATTGGGTGGACCAGGCTAGAAGTAGGATGCTTACTTTGATATTCCGTGCATCGTAACGACTTATATACCACGCGCCGCACAACGCGCCAATGACAGACGTGGTAGAGCTCACGGACAGGGCCGTTTCCATAATGGAGTTAGGCTTCACACCAAAGATGGTGCCGCCTCTGATGCCGGCGAATATGAACATGCCGACACTAATGACAAATGAGCACAAAATCTGCTACGAATAAATGAGAATGTACACTGCGACTTTCTGGAGCGAGTCAACGCTCAATGACCACTCATACTTAAGCCGCTCAAAAATCGTGGAATAGTCGCTATCGGCCGATGCAGTCATGAGCCGGTCATACACCGGAAATGAGGCAATCAGACTCTCCACAAACGTCAGTACGCGCGCACCACGTAACAGATGATACCGAGGAAGCTCAGGTTCTTCTACACATCTTACCCCCCTCTCTTCTGCCGAGCTCCAGAGCACCCAATGAGTAGGCCATTCTGGTTGGAAGGTGTCCTTCATAGGACTGCTAGGAAAGTACTCTGAGCTGGATTCATCAATCAGTACATCGTCGTCGTTGTCCTCACCGTCTGTGTTATTATTGTATCCACGGTTTCGACCACGCCCCAAATACGATTGTATTGCATTGGTGGAAACCGTCGTTTGCGGTGTCGATAACAAGCCACTCGTCATGCAACAAGGCGTCCTGGGTTTCGGATGCTCCTCCCTGGGCTGCGTGTTCGAAAACACCGCCGTCTGCGGTATTATTATCCAATACGGTTTCCAACAGAGACTCGTCATCCGATATAGTTACATTCTCTGGTCAGGGAGAAAATTAGTGACAGATGTTGCCTCAGTATGCAGGATTACCGTTATATGCGATGGTAAATGAAACTGTCTCTGGGGCATTTACGGCAACAGGCGCCAACAGGCCCAGCTCTTCCGACGTAGATATAGGCTGGAACACTAGAAGAGGGGAAACAGCTGTGGTCTCGATAGATGGAGCGTAGGTTGGAGCGTGAGCCTCGCCCATCAAGGCTGCTTGCGCTGGATTGGCAGTGGGAGCCATTGCGGGGTCGACGAGAGGAACGAAAGGCCTGATCGCAGGCGCTGAAGTGTAGGGATGTCCGCTGGTCGCTCAAAAAGTCCATGCGATGTGTCCACCGTTTTCCATCCGGAGGTTGGGCAATGGAACTCGGGTCGGAGGACACGGATTCACGTTGCCCTGTATTAAATGAAGTTCGTGAGCCAGATCTAGAACTAAGCGGCCATACGTGTGTAGAGTCAATAGACTGACCTGAACGTCGGGGTCCTGTCCGGGACTAAATGGCACGAGTATCGCTCACATTTTCAGTCGTTTGGATGGAAAAGAATGTGTCGAAGTCGAATGATTAGAATACTATATTTGCATGGACGCAACGTCACTCGTTGCGTTGTTAATTCGCCGTGACGTCACGGCCTTTGGGCCGTTGTTACATAAGTGAAAACAAGGGGAAAAAATGCACAGCGGCTGATATCGATCAACGTTTCAACGTGCAACAAGGAGGTCGGTACTTCAAAGCTTCACGCCCAGTGAGAAGTCGGGGTGGCAGGGTTTAGCTGTAACTAGTAGAATATGAGCTACCTAGTGGATATCAGCAAAAATCTAGTTATGGCCAAGCATGTGATAAGTGCAACGATCACGGGTCTCGTCTTTTCATTGAAAAGAGAATCACAAATCCGGCGCGCCGGATTTTCAGTTGCAAGTTCTTGTCGCTCGTTTTTTTTTGTTCGTCTCATTTGCTTTTTCTTTCAAACTCGCACGAAGATACTTATTGTCATCCAAATGCAGATGGTGGTCCCATGCAAATGCGGTCACAAGATAACTCAACTTGAAAATCAACATCCATGAAAAGGTGCAGAACGCGTCGACTTGCAACTTGCTTCTAACCTCCACCCAGATTTTTCTGACACGCATATATAGTGTTTTTTTTTTGATACAGTAGCACTTCCTCGCATTGACCCCTGCATTGACGCCGACATTGATCAGTGCATCGACTGCAGCATCGACCAACACATCTACCACCGCCGCATCGACCAGCCCACGCTCGCGCAAGCACGCACGCCCCCTCACCAGTTACTTTCCCGAGAAG